GAAGAGACACTTTGATTAATAAAGGTAAATGTTGAAAGATTTAGACCGGAAAAATTGCAAAATTATAAATTTTAGCTAAAAATAGCTCATTTAGACAGAAAAATATCAAAAAAAAAAAGTTTAAGTTTTTTGTTTTGTTTTTTTTTTTTTAATTACTTATTTGTTGTTTATATAAAAATTTTTGCGTTCAATTATTTTCTTCCAATTATTTTGTTTTTTTTTTTTTTTTTAAGGCAATAATCAGATTAGAAATTGGTGAACAAAATATGACAAAACGATTCAAAGCATTTGAACTGTTTGGTGGAGTGGAAAGTTTTGTGGTAACGGTTGACGCCGGTGACCATTACGTGCATCAATGCAGGTCTGAATCTTTATTTATCCAATTGTTGAACCTAATAAGAATTTCTTAGTCTGTTCTTCTTTTTTCAACTTTTCAAAAAAAGATTATAATTTTTAATGCAAAAAAAAAAAAAAAATTAGCCAAAAACAATTAGCCAAAAACTCGCTATCAGCTGAATGAGCTTAAAAAAAAAATGAAGAAGAATAATCTGAAGAAGAAAACAGTTTTTTTGATATAGTATTGTATTACCCGGGTCATCTGTACCATTGGTATCGTCAAATGAACAAGGTGAAGTACATGGTCCGATCAGTTTATGCAGTATTGCCTACAATGGTGTCATCTATACATCAGAAGTACGATTTGAGGAACGTGATCGATGTGAAAAAGATGTTGAAGCTAATACATCAGAAACGCAATTTTAGTTTTGTTTTTTTTTCGTCATCTAATCTATACAAATTGTAATTACTTTGTAAGATGATAGAAGAGAAGAAAAAGAAATTGAACTGTTTTTCAAAGAAAAAAAAATATGATCATTGAAAAAAAGCAAAAAAACAAAGGTATTATTAATTGCATATACTATTACGGGAAAATAATTTCCAGAAAGTCGACAAAAAAAAAAGAAGAGAGAAGCCTCAAATCTTCTGTATCAATGTTTGTTTTTATGCCAATTGAGTGTATCTGTTTGTAATTGCCAGTATTATCAATGATTAAATACAGTTAGCTATATATTTGTTGAATGAAATTTGAAACCAATTTTTTTTTTTGTTTTTTTTTTT